AATTACCTAATTTCTTATAAAACCCGACCCGACCCGACCCGAGCCATATAAAGAAAATTTTAAAAAATAATAAATTAATTTAAGAAAAGGTAAACCCTAAAAATCAGATTCTGAATATTTACGCCCATAATCCCATTCACGCTTCTGTAGATCTCGCTCTCTCCTCTGCCTCTGCCTCCGCCTCTTGCTCTTGCTCTTGCTGTCCCTATTGTGCCGCTGTCCCTATTGCGCCGCTGTCCATCTACCGTCGACCAATAAAAGGTTTGTGATGTGTGTAAGCAAGTTTTGATTTCTCTCTTGCTTTATTAATTGTGCTTTGCCTGTTATGATAATTTGTTGGAGTGGTACTTATATTCCCTGTCTAATTGTATGGTTTAGCTATGGTACCAAAAGAAACTTGTCAAAAAGGGAAAAAAAATTAAACATATAAAAACCGACGGGTATGTATAATAAATGGTGTTTAGCAATAAAAATGGAGGCCTGTTTTGGAGGCACGTCTTTGTGTTCTTCATTCCAATGCTTCGGAAAGTACTTTGTAGCTCTTATTCGGTTGATGATGGAAAGGTTGAAGGATAAATGCAGAACTCCTTTCAGTGTAAGAGGTCATAATGAGTTTAGAACTTTTTTACTCACTTGACTTCTTTTAAAGTAGTCGCAGAAATTTGAGTGCTCTGTCTGCTATATCCGTGTGTTGGGGTTTTCCTGTACCTTTTGTGGTAAATGGTCAATGGGGGAAGATGAATTATCTGTGTGTTTTTTAATTCGTTGTAGTTATATACATATCTCTGTGTTAGCTCTTAACTGGTTAGGCGGGCCACGGGTGATATAATTGGAGCTCTGATTTTAAATTTTAAAATTTCTTGTACTCTCTCTCTCACAAGGTCTCATACTTTTTAATAAATTCAACACAATTGTGATGTCGTAGTAGTATTTTCTCTGACAGTCCTTTTGACTTCATCAAACGTCATTTATTGGCTTTAATTTTTTTTTTTAAAACTTTGTACTGAGTCTATACTATCTTCATGTGCATTTTTGTGTTTGTATTTATTGCTTTATTTAAATGCAAGATGTACTTCAGAGATTTTGTGAGAGTGAAATGTTGAAAATGAGCCTTATTTATTTTGATTGCTTTCATTTTTATATAGATTAGTCAGAGTTGAATGTGTATTGCACATTATTTTGAAATACTTTATAAGTATTATAAAAGTAATATCTGTAACCAATTTGTTGTGAGGATTTAATAAGTCTAAAACGGACTAAAAAAAATAAAAATTAGAATAAAAATTAAAAATAAGAAAATTGTACTATCGAAATTCAACTTCTATGATTCAAATTTTTGTGATGGTGAAATACTACAAATGAACAATATTTTTATACTACATTTGCTACATAAGAATTAATTGCTAATACATGAATTTAAACACGCGTTAAAATTTCTAAATACATTCATTTTTAATAATTCTAGATTAATGTAGAACAAAATTTGTCTAAATTAATATAAATATTAATTAATTGAGAATTAATAACACGAAATTTATACATGATTAGGGATGGCAACGGGGCGGGGTAGTGCCCGTTACCATCCCTAATCATGTATAAATTTATTTTTATTACCCCAATTTATTAGATTTAGACAAATATTTTTTATTAGAACTAATGAAATTTCGTGAAATTTTCTATTTAAAGTATTGAATTTTAAAAAAATAAAATTAAATTAAATGGGGCGGGGCGATATTCCCTGCCCCGAATACCCGATTAAGCGGGTTATACTCGCCTCGTTCGGGGTTGAACTCCACGGATATCGGGTTTGTCGGATTTTTTTCCATCCATATACATGATAATGATTTTATAGTATTTACTGTGTATTGAAAAACAAAAAGTAATATATTATTAAAATAATTAAATTGTAATAAGATTAAAATCGTCAAAAAAATGATTCTCACATTTGCCTGAAAAATGACATATTGTATTGTGATAAATCACAATGTCTATAAATTTGACATTATACTTTTTACTTGTGACCCTAAACACGTTTTTCCAAAGCATATTACAATATGACGTCTACAAATCAATACCTCAATGATTAATATTTTATGACATGAAAGTGATTGCTTTTATAGGCATGATTTTAATATTTCTACTATTTAATAATTAATAAAAACTTAATATATTAGCAGAATCACGTTCCTTAAATTATCATCCATTTAGATTAGCACGTTACTTCTCAGTTGTTTGAAGCTCGAAGTGAATACCTCGGAGTACTTTATGAGCTACAACTTATATGTGATTTAAAAGGTCAAGAAGAGAAAGATATGGCATGATATCTAATTTATCTTTATTAGACAAATGAGATTCATCGTCCATATCTTTTTTGACTTCCTCTTTACGATGATATTGTGATGGTGCAACTTCATCCAGTATTTTCTCAATGGACAATTTGGTGCTCCTTTGTATATATTGAACATAACACGATGAAGACCTTCTAACTATCTAGAAATATGTGATGTCATTCGTTACGGGTTGGTGTCAGACCCTCCATCTCGACGCCACGTGTCAGCAGAGGTTGCCCACCGTAACACGCGTCAGCCTAGGCGATTACCCACAGGACGATCTGAGTGCACACACACCGGCGAATGAACCGGACTCATTCGCGAACATATCGCAGATGCAAAGGCCCGCACTCTGTTCGTATAATGTTGCAACGCCTCACATGTCTCGTCTCGCCTCACCAAAGATCTCTTGTACAAAGATCTTTCCAAAGTCAGATCACTAACTGATGGGACGCGTGGAGGATTCAAACGGTCAAATCAGCTGCTCTTGTCAGAAACATTCAATGTCAGCCAGCCTATGGAGGGATGGATTGATACTTAGGATGGGACAAACTCTGGAGATCTGACAACACGTGTCTCCTCATCCAACAGCTCTCCCCTCCCCATCATTGGTATAAATACTCTCTCCTTATGCCTGAAAAAAGATTGAAACCCAACACACCCAAAACTACCACTGCATTGTGAAATTAAGTATTCTCCTCCCTTGAATATGATCACTCTTTCGATATGCACTTTGTCAATTACGTCCCGACGAGTGTTCCATCGCCGGTAAACTCTTCTGTGTTTGAACTTTAAACTGATTTGACCGTCGGAGTGCTTGCGGTCGCTCCCAACCCTTTCGAGAAAGGCCACGCGTAACTAGTAACGTGCTACGTGTGCAGGAAAAGCTGACTTGAAGACATTTTCTATTGACCACGTGTCGGAGCCATTTTTCGAGGTCAACATCATTAATAAATATACGTACAACACTTTTTTAAATAGATGTTTTACGAATTTAAAACATTCGATAATTAATAAATTATTATGTAAAGGATCATAATAATTAGAGAGGTTAGACTATACTCGAAAATAAAAGCAGATAGAAAATTAGGGTGTGTTTGATCCACATTATTTTGGAAGAATGTATTTTGGAATAGTAGATTGATGGAGAATGTGCGATTGAAAAAAAAAAAGAAAAGTTATTGATGTGGTGGAAATTATTATTTTATTGAAAGATGTGTGCTTGAAAATGAGTAGAAGAATGAAAATGAAAATTTTAATGTATACCAAACAGGGGCTAAGAAAAAGGTTTGTTGAGAAAAAGGAAAAAATAAAAAATAAAAACAAAGGAGTTACAATGAAAATTCACAAAAATGGAGGGACCTCTAAAGAACACAACCGGGGGGCCCCACTAATCCTAAATTTGGGGAAGGGATAAAATTTATCTGCGGAAAATTGCTTTAACTCATTGCACCAAAAAATCGGATATCTTTCTTATTTCCCCCTCATTTTCCCGCGTTAGAGGGAAAAGAAAATTTTCTAATTTTCTCAAATTCTTCTACAGGTAAATCATTGGAATGTTTTTACGCACTCTACTGAATATGACTTCAATAGTTTGAGCTCTGATTTTCGTTTTAATATTTACGTCACTTGCAGGAGGAGCTGTGAGTAGCTTCAGTTTGTGATATCATTTCAATTTCAAGTACCATTTTTTTTTCCTGGCTTGTTTATCGTTTAATTATCGTTTTTTTTAGAGTAATTTGTTATGCTCTGTTTGGTTTGTGTTGATTTTTAGGGTTTGATTTGCTTCAGCTTTGGGGCTTACTTACCGTATGGGGATTTTGTTGGAATTGGTTTTATTGTGATGTTTTTAGTTGAGTGGTTTGGAGGTTTGCGATACTTTTATCTGTAAATAGTCCTGTCCTTTTGATTTAAGTTTTTATGAAATGTTTATGGCTTTTCATTCCTACTTGGCGAAGTTCTTATTTGGGATATTTGCTTTTACTAGGTAAATAGCTTTGTTTTCATTTGGTTCTATTCATATGAACGTTGACAAGTGGTGTGGTGAGAAAATGTATGTATATCGTACTGGAAAGACAGTAATTTACAGTTGCCTGATGACGAAATAGTTATAATTTGCTTTATCATTTCCTTCTTCATTTGACCCAGCTTTTGCAATTATATATGATTACTTATACATATATGTAAATTAGGATCAAGCTTTTACAGCTCAAGCTAAAACAAGGAAAAAGAATATAGAACAGAAAAGAAAAGAAAAGACGTGTCCAGTATAAGTATTAGGTTTTGTCTTGGGTTTTAATTTTTTAAATATCACGTTGAAACTGTGTGTCTATTTCATGAATGTGCTTTCTGTTTTATGTTTGCTTCAAAAAAATGCCATTACCGATAAGATTTGACTGTAATTTGGTTTAAAAGATGCTCTTCACGATGTTTTAGTTTTTAATTCAATGGCATCTGAGTTCGTGGTTGCAATTTTATTCTGGAAAACGATAATGCCCTTTTCTGCACGTTCCCACGATGAGACTCAAATCGTATTGTATGAAGCATTATACTAGTTGACTGGGACATCTGGTTTTAACTTTGGCAATGTTATTTCTCTATCAGGAAACAAATTTTCCTGAAGAATAAAGAAATAATCCCCCGACGGAGATCTTCTTGCCTAAATGAGAGATGCAGACCAAGAAGAAAGTTACTGGAAGAAATTCTCGAGATCTTGCCAGTCCAAGGGTTTCAAGACACCAAAAGAAGTTATCTGAAGATGTGCTAGTGCAAGCAAAGAAAGTTACAGAGCTCATCACCTCTTCTGCTAGAAAGAAAAAAATTGGTAAGTAGGTAGCTTGATCCAATTATTCAGGTTATCTGCTTTAAATAGTCATTTGCTGTCGTCAAGCACAAGAAGCTGATCCACCTTTTTTTATGAAACTTAGATATCAAACTAAAGGGGTGTTTATGGCTCCCTTTCTCCTTGTTTACACCACTGAAATCAGTTTTTGTTGACCTTGGTGTTATTTTAGTGATCTAGAAATCAATTTTTGCTGTGATTCCATTGATTTCCTTTGAACTACTCCGTAGAATTCCCTCAACCTCTGTCAGACAGATCATCTATTAAGATTTCAAAAGGTTTCCATTTGTTTATGTAACTCAGCATTATCGTGTATTCACGAGTGGACTGACATACTTTTGTGTTCCTCTTAGTTGGCATTCTTCCAGAGAACATTGAGGAATCTGTTGCTGAAACCAATTTGAATGCAAGATTCAGATTGGTGGAGGGTGATGATCCAAATGGGTGTTTAAGCAACGACACAACCCATTGTCTTGATGATGCTTTTGTAATTAATAAGGTGACTATATGAGATATCTTCCATCATTTTTCACTTGCAATTGTCCAATTTTTCTTCCATATTATTATACATTTTTATTTATTTATGTGCATTTGTGCTACTTCCATCAAAGATCCTTTTAAAATGTATTCGTGTTACAACTTTTTAAAATTAGAATATATGAATTTTGTTTTGGGTTAGCTAGTAAAATCTTATGTGATATCTTGTCATATTTTAGGAGCATGATCATGGAACTACTGATTGTGCGGGTGAAACTATATTTTCTCCTAGCTTTCATATTACAAGAAATTTTGGAGGTGAAATTTCAAGTGAAGGTACTCAATAAGTTTGATGCTTATTTTTTTGCTATTTTGCTTACTCCTGTTTAGGCTCATGTTCTCAAATTTTCTTGCATGTTCTCAAATATATATATATTTTCCATTACCTTTTCTTCTGCCAGAAGACGTCTTCAAATTCTTTCAGCATGGAGATCAACATATTTGGGACTATGGCAATGAGAACTTGAAGATCAGTTGCCCTGGTATGAGAATAAAATATCAATGGCTCATTGTAAATCCACTTAAGCTTTCAGTTATTTCTTTCAATCCTAATGCTGGGGCTGCTGCTTTTTATGCAAAATTTAGGTGGTGGCAACCTAGCAAAGGAAGTTCCAGCTATACATCTTTCCATGAAAAATTCAAACCTGAAATGTGTTGAACAAGAAAATCAAGATCATATGGCAACTGATGTTTGTCTAGAGGATGAGGAAGTTGAAGATTTTGATGATTTTGATCCATTTTTTTTCATAAAGAATTTGCCAGAGTTGTCATCAGTTGTTCCAATATATCGGCCTGTACTATTACCAAAACAAACGAGAAGCTGCCCATCAACAACTCTTGTTCTAGACTTGGATGGTAAGCATGCTTTAATCATATATTATTTATTAGTATTCCAACATATCACTGAATAGTGACTTTAACAAATAATTTTTCTATCTTATTCAAAACTGCTAGTCCTGTTTATGCTTAATTTTCTAGTAAAAAGGAATGTTGCTAAAATAGCAGAATGGATAATTTTAATACTTAAAACTAATCATTTTGGATAGAAAATAAGTAAGAACAAAATAAACACTATTTTATTTTATGCTTAAAGTACGTATTTTGAGTGTTTCCATTGCCAATTCCATCATAATCTCCAACATATCTGCTTGTGTATGCTTTTATAAATACAATATGTGAAGGATTAAAGAGAAGTTCATTGACAATTACTTTCCAGGGCTTTGCCATTTTTTAAGTATGTATCATGCAGGCATCAAGGTCATCAACAAACCTTGTTTGTACGCGTGACATACACTGAAACTTCATTATTCTATTTGGCAGAGACCTTGGTGCACTCCACACTTCAACCTTGTGATGATGCAGATTTCATGTTCTCTGTTAATTTTAACTCGAAAGATCATACAATATATGTGCGGCTCCGCCCTTATCTGAGGTATTTCATGGACAAGGTATCCCGTCTCTTTGAGATTATTATATTTACTGCCAGTCAAAGCATTTATGCTGAGCCACTTCTGAAAGTGTTAGACCCAAAGAGAAAAATATTTCGGCATCGTGTGTACCGTGAATCCTGTGTGCACCTTGATGATAATTACCTCAAAGATCTTTCCATTCTAGGTCGTGATTTGGCACGCGTTGTTATGATTGACAACTCTCCTCAGGTAATTTTACTGCTCATTCAGATATGAGTTGTGATGTTGTACTTCCATTGCATGGTGTTTACTGTTTTCCTTTTCCTTGTCCCGTGGATAGAAATTTTTTTGTTTTACTGTTTTTTGTGTTCGATGAAGCAATTAATCTTCTCGTTGTGAAAAGAGATTCCCAGTTATAAGCTATTTTTGGACTCGTGATGTCGACCATTAAAATTTCCATATTTGCTTGATAACTATAATGAAGTTTGAAAATCCATCTTTTGGCATAATCTTATTCTTGTCTTGTGTAATCTTCTGCCTTTGATGGTTAATATGGTAAAAGAGTTCTTTTATCATGTACAATTCAAGAATAGATATTAAGGCGTCAATCTTCTGAAAAACTTGTCACTTGCATTACCTTCTGTCAAAGTAATAAGAAACCTTAAAATTAGCTCATTAGCTGATTAACATTGACAATGGTTTTGGTTTTCAGGCATTTGGTTTCCAGGTGGACAATGGAATACCGATAGAAAGCTGGTTTGATGACCGTGCTGATACAGAATTGTTGTCTTTAATTCCATTTTTGGAAAGTTTAGTTGGTGTAGAAGATGTAAGGCCTGTTATTGCCAAGAAATTCAACCTTCAAGAGAGAATAGCTGCAGCAGTTTGTCCTTTAGGCTACAACCGTGGAGACACTTTTGAAAGATGAGCAGCTTAGTGCACGATGTATTCCATGACCACACAAAAGGATTGCTTGGACTTTATTAGCATTGCTTCACATTGCCATACTCTTGGTTGAGAGAACTTAGGGTCAAAAGAGGAAAGTTAAGAAGATTTAACAAATTCAGCAGTAATTTCGTGTGATCTTAAGATTTTAGAGACTTTATACTCGTGAATTCTTACATGCATCTGATTTTATCTGTAGACTGAGATCAGCTAGGTTCCTGGAGTCCTAGTGTTCCTAGGCGACAATAATTTGGTTGATACTGCATCAATCTTTTGATTTGAACACAATAAGTATTTACTCTTTCATGCTGCTTATAATATTTCGAATTTCTGGTGAATTTAGGTCTGTTTAAGCCCCATAAGTATGGGTTGGGAACGAACCTATAAGCCACACAATGTGTGGGTCCCATACAATTTGGATTTTATAAGCTCCCTGAAAACGTGGTGTCTCATTCTAGTCGAAGATGTAATAAAAGCGTTAATCTTGGTGGATAACCTATCATTCAAAAGAAGAATTAGGGGTGTCCAAAAGTTTCGAACCGAGCGGTTCTTCATAAATTAAATACCCGAACGGGTACCTGAATTAAGAACCAATGGGTTTGGGTCGGGTCTCGAGTCTAGATCAAGAACCGAAGAATCGAATAAAAACTGAAACTAAATAATTTTTTTATTTTTTATATTGAATTAATTAAATTTTTTTATTTTTTTCTAAACAAATTAGCAAATTAATTAAATAAATCAGATTATTTCATAATTTTAATTTAAAAACTCAAATCATTTTTAGAACCCATTAACCTATTTTAATTTGAAGTAAAGGAATATACTTTATGTCATTTTGCTGTAATNAATTAATCTTATTGGACGGTTAGTTATTTATATATTTTTGAATTGAGCTACGTTAATTTGTAAAAGTTACGAATGAAATGTCATTAGTTGTATTTATGTAGTGTTGCTATAAATATTAAAAAAATTAATTATGGTACGGACCTGAACGGAATCGAACCCGAACGGTTCCATAATTATATGTGGATCCGACGTGTCCATTTATTAAATACTCGAAAGTTTTGGGTCGGTTCGGATCTCTTCAGAACCGAACCGACCCTCGGACAGCCCTAAGAAGAATACTCCTCTTTAAATTTTCGAAACTAGTCTATAAACGATCATTTTCATTTTATTTCCCATCCAAACTTTTGGTTTTCATCTTTGGTATACTTCTTTTATTTTTGTGGGGTTTTATTCGTATAGAGATGATGGTAAAAAATAATAATCCCCATAAAATATGTGATCAACAAGTTGAAAGAAAAGTCCTTTAGTAATGCCTCTGGTGAATGTAGCCGTGTAGTTAGGTGGGAGGTGAGGAAGACTTTGTTTTCCTTGGTGTAAAGGATTACTTGTTAGCAATTGTCTCAAGTTGCTATTCTCCCCCGGAAGATCAATTTTTATGCAGTTTTCATCCATCCGACCGTTCTTAAAAACACCTCTCGTTAGGCACATAAATATTGCATTGATTTTTACAAGGTCAAACCAAGACTTTAGGACAAAACGATAGTCGCATTAAATTTACACTGTCCAACCATATGTACCTGATTTTTCAGATGAGACATCAATTGCCATTGATTTTTAAACCAATGCTTGCAGAACCCTTATCCTTCAAAAAAATCTTGTATTTTCGAAAGTTGTTAAAAATTATCTTTATTTTTATATACACTTATAAATAAAAAAAAAATATTCGACCTTTCGAAACATTAATAGAGCATTAATCTGCATGACAAAAAAGTGTTCATTATTGATAAGTTCGAGAGCGACTGCAAGACGTTGCAAGTTCTTGTCGACACAGTTGTGGAATTATTTTAGATCAAAAATGATATATTTTTATCAGGATAATTAGCATATAATGTCCTTATCTTTCATTATTATTGTGAAAAATGTCATTACCTTTTATTTTTTGACATTTTTACTCTTATTTTCACCTTTCATTGCGCAAAAAATCATTTTCATCAATTTTCTCAATTAAAAGTTGTGAATTAACGAATATATCACTCTATTTAAACAAAATAAAAATAAAACTAAAAAATTAATTGTAATTATTGTCCCAATTTTTTTTAAAAAGTGCAAACGAGTCTGAAATAAATTAGTAAAAGGGTAATTAGCACATAAAATATCCTTACATATCACTCTTATTGTGAAAAACGTCCATATACTTAATTTTTTGTTATTTTCACTCATAATTATACATTTGATTGCGCAAACCATTTTTTCTATCCATTTTCATCTAAATTCTCAATAAAAACTGTGAAATGACGAATATATCATCCTATTTAAATATTAAAAAAATAAAAATAAAAATTTAATTGCAACCATAATCCCAAAGTTTTTAAAAAGGTATAAACGAGTCCCAAATAAATTATTAAAAATTAAAAAGTGCAAACCAGTCCCAGATAAATTAGTAAAAAATTAATTTTCTTTTTTATTTAAATATGAGTGTATAGTTGTCATTTCACAGCTTTTATTAAGAAATTGGATGAAAATTGATAGAAATGATGATTTGAGAAATTAAATGTATAATTGATAGTGAAAGTGCCAAAAATGAAAGATTTGGATGTTTTTCACAATAATAGTGAAATGTATGAACATTATGAGGTGATTATTATTTTAATAATTTATTTGGGACTCGTTTTGTAATTTTTTTAAAAAAATTGGGACTATGATTGTAATTAATTTTTTATTTTTTTTAAAAATAGATGGGTATGTTTGTCATTTCATAGCTTTTAATTGAAAAAATAGATGAAAATGACATTTTGTGAAATGAAATGTGGAAATAGGGGTGAAAATGTCATAAAATGAAAGGTAAATACGTTATGTGCTAATTACCCATTTTTATAATAAATTTAACATGACCGAATATTTGTCGAGTACAAATCCCACTCTATATAGATTAGGCATGCATGCATCTAGCCCATTTAGTAGACGGGAAGCTTTTTGTTTACGTCCATTAGTTTGTAAATGTATTCAATGCTTGGATCAAATAGTTGTTCATGTACCTTTTATCACCGATTGATTATTTAGAGGTCTTAGCTAGTGATCCAAGTTGTTTCATTCTCGATAATGAAAATATCTTTGATCTTTCCTTGTCTTACTAGCCGATCTTGATCCCTATTATTGTGAAATCAATATCACAAGTGACAAGTTCTGTCATGCACAATTTTCTCATGGACAAGACTCCTATGGCCACTTTTAAATCAAATTTCAATGGAGAAGACAAATTTCTTTTGAAAATCACAAATGCAATGTCCCTGGTGCAATTCTTTAAATTTCATTTTCAATCATACATTTTATTATGGATCCTTGCATGAGTGCATCTGCTCTAGCTGTACCTTATGCTTGGGGATTAGGGAATATACCCTATTCACAATAGCCCTAAATACAGAAGACCTTCAAAAAATGGGAATTATTCTGTTTCACTCAGTTTAGTGCTGTCTTCACATACATTCTCAGCCAGAATTAGTTGAGTTGGTAAAGATGGCTTTAAATGGACCTGAGTTGGACCACCCATTTAAATTCTCATTTTATTTGAATACTTTGGTTTTTGGGTTGGGATAGTATATAATGATGATAATAAAAGAAAGAATAAGTGCACTTACACCATCAGATGCTTATTTTATAATGACAAGTGCAAGAGACTCGAGTCATTTGGATAGTCACATTGGCAAACTTAGACGACGAGGATTTGATTACTAATCCGAAAATCATATTATTCCATCCATGATGACGACGATCGAATTATAGACTAGGTCATTTTATTCTGTATTTTCAGTTTTTTAGTCTAATTAAAATTATTCTTTTTTTTTGCCCTTTTCTTTCATCATTATTATAAAATATTTTGCCCATAATTTATCACGTTAAATTCTGTAAAGTCCAACGTCCCAGATGGGCACAAAAAGTACACCCAAAAGTCCCAATAAAGCACATTCTCCACTTGTCTCCTCCCACTAACTTGACCTTTAATCCACACCCCACCCCACCCCACCCCACCCCACCCTATTTAATCCATTCTTTTTCCATTTTCTTTCTTCTTTTTGCCTTTTGGTCAATTTAATGCTGAATGAAGTTTTTTGACCAAAACACAAAAGCCTGAAAAGAGAGGAGCATTAACCTTTCTTTTTGGATATCACCACCTAGGAATAGAAACTCCCAACTGTCTCTCAATTTTTACAAACTCACTCATTTGTAATTCTTTTCATATCTCTTTGTAAAATTAAAATTAGAAGATCAAATTCAATAATCAGTTTGTATAACCCTATTAGTAGATATTCTCTGAGATTGCTCGTTCGAATATGGTACTTGGTCCGCTCTCCTTTTGTTACCGAGTTTTATATCCCACGAGTGTACGAATCATAACAAAGTGAACATATGAGTCCAGATATCGTTCTCACGAGAATTACTATCTAAAAATTGATTTAATTATTCCCAACTTTAATTTGATTGGAAACAAATAAAATTGTTATTTTTTTTTTTTTGTGATTTTCTATTTTAAATATACTAAAACAAAAAAAATGATTTTTTTTTTTTTTAATATGATGGTTTTAAGTGTTAGGATTCATGATTTTACCATAACTATCCCCTTAATCTTAATTACCAATTTTTACACAATTCATTATGTTTACCCAATCGAATTCTTCTAATGTATTCAATTAATCTATTTAACTAATTCAATTCTATATCTCTATGTGAATCAATCTTATTTAAAAGCAATTATTGTTCTAAGAATTCATATAACGATCACAATAATTAGCATAAGTATCTCTACATTTTATACTAATTACTGACTTTTACTACGCGGTCTAAATAAATAATCTGCATCTCTACGTAATTATTGCTCACGAAATCAATGAAATAGTGGCCAATTACTCCAAAGATTAAGATTGAAAGCAAAAACAATTCACACAACCAATTTGAGATTTAAAATTTTTTAATTAAAATAAGGTTCAAAATTAGGTTATAATCATTCATCATAACTAAACACTTAATTACACACCATGGGAGAATAAAAGCACAAGAAGGAATTAAAGTATATCAACGGATTTTAAGGAAAGACGAGAAAAATTTGAAAATCTTGCACCCAGATTCCGCCTTTTTCTTGTAAAATTGTGAAACTCTAGCTTCTTAATTTATTTCTTTCATCCTTTTAGCTTGAATAATATATATGCAATGAATTCCCTAAACCTTGCTTGAATATATGTGTCTAATGAAATCCTACAAGCCCCGCTTTAATCGTTGGACTATGTTGTGTATTTTTAGAACAAGATTAGACAAAGTCCTTGTTCAAATTGATTTTCAAAGTGTTTGAATTGATTTCTACCAAAGAGTTAAGAAATAAAAGGAAATGGTTCCTTTTTCCAATTGAACTTCTTTTCTCATGTGACTTTATTCCTTTATCTTTTAATATTTGCAATTAAGTCCCCTTCATTTCAAAGTAATAAGGGTTGACTCGATACATGTTTCGGAGATTGCAGTTTAGTCCTCAAAACTTTCCAAATATTGGATTTAACTCCCGAACTTGCGGATTTCTACCGAATGCTCCATTAATACTCCAATTGATCTCTTGCAATCCGATTAATTTTCAATTATTTCAAATCAACTCCAATTAAGCTCAAAATAACATATTTTCTACATTAAGCTCCAATTAATTCCTCAAGTCTGGGCTTGAATATATGTATCTAATGAAATCCTACAAGTCCCCTTTAATTGTTGGATTATGTTGTGTATTTATAGAGTAAGATTAGGCAAAGTCCTTGTTCAAATTGATTTCCACCAAAGAGTTTGAATTGGTTTCTACCAAAGAGTTTAAGAAAAAAAAATCATTTTTCCAATTGAACTCTTTTTTTCGTGTGATTTTATTCCTTCATCTTGTAATATTTGCAATTAAGTCCTGTTCATTTCAAAGTAATAATGGTTGGCTCGATACAAGTTTCGGAGTTTGTAATTTAGTTCTCAAACTTTCCAAATATTGGATTTAACTCCCGAATTTACGAATTTTTACCGAATGTTCCATTAATACTTCCAATTGATCTCTTGCAATCCGGTTAATGTTCAATTGTTTCAAATCAACTCCAATTAAGCTCCAAATAACATTTTCTAAATTGTATAAGTTGAAATTTTTCTACAATTAACATAATTTACACAAATTGAGTAAATAATTGTTCAATTTATATATAAATAAATAAGAATAGAAGCCAAGATAAACGCATAAAATGCACCGATTACCTTTCCTAGTGAAGGAGCAAGTTTGCCAAGCTCGTAAGTATAGAATGAGCTCATTCGATAAAATAAATTGCATAGCAATAATTATTCGGTGTACCATATTCATGTCGAGTATCTTGTTGACTAATGTTTATGAGTTATGCTATATGTACACCCTCTTTTTTACATAATCTTTTACCTACATTCACAATAGGGTGCGAGGACCACACATTTGTGAGTTTTTTATTCACGCGGGCCATGCGCGCATGTGAAAGGATGACACATTTTCGATAACTCACATTCGGTAGAAATAGAATTATCCAATATTTATTCAGTTTCTCATGGTACATAAATTTTCTTTTTAAAAAGTGAAGAATTAAATGGCCATATCACATTGTCAAAAGAAGCTACAAAATGAAACCTCCCATATGATTTGGTCGCACTTTTGAACACAAACCAAAGTGAAGCCATCATCATGTCACATGTAAGTGACTTTTTTATAAAAACTTAAATCGAGTAGCTGTGTATATTCTAGGAAAAGAGGATTCTATTGACCACAACAAAAGTTATAATTAATTTTGGTCCCAAAATTTGGCCTCAATTTTCATTTTCATCCCTCTTTTTCAATAACGTTTACAGTTAACTGCCAGTTAACTCTCCATTGCCTCCACAGCATTTCCATTGACGTCAATGTTTATGGCAATTCCGTTAGCTTCAATTTCGCCGGCGTCATCGAGCCACCTCTCTGCGGCAGCGCACTCCGCCTTGTGGCGGAGCTTCCAATCCAGCGCCTGACAAGCACGGGAGCAATAGTTCACTGCTCCGCACACAGAGCACCGTCGAAATTCATGCCTCCTAGTCTCGGGCCTTCCACAACCCGAATGAGAGCACAACCGTAGCCCCTGACCCGGACTCCCTTCGCACCTCGAGAACCAATCGGATAAAAAACGATTTGCTGGATGAGTTTCCGGCGCCGGAACATTACAACCGAAATCACTAAACAAAGGGCATCCCGTGACCGCGATGTGGCGATGATGCATCAGGGGATTCCACGTAAGCCACGAGCTGGCTTTCGGCGCAGGCGTGGCCAAAACGGCGGCTAGCTCTCGCGCGTTGGCTTGGACGAGGAATCGGCGGCCGTCGGCGATGTTCTGCTTCACTCCATAACCGTCTTGCAGGCAGTGGCCGAGCTCCCTAAGGGCGTCGATATGCCCCAAGAAAGCGGCCCGTGCGCAGAGTGCAACACCAGCCCTCAGATCCTTGTCGTTTTTCGAGCCGCCGCTACCGTTGAACTGAATGACGGCGAGTGAATACAGCGCCGGCGCGTAAGAACTGATCGCCGCCTTGGCTATTAAAGACGCACCGCTTCCTCGGTTCCGCAAACAGTAGAATCGAATCTGTGGCCAAAAAATAACAGTTAATGACAAAATCCTCATCACATTTTTGAAAAAATTATTTCTATAACAAATATATTTACCATGCCGAGAGTGTAACAGGCTTCTATATTCCCAGAATCAGCACAGAGTTTGAGAAATCGGTGAGTTGATTCAGACCAGTTCTTAGCTTTGACCGCTACCATTTTCTCACAGGCTTTGGATAACACTGATGAATGGAGGCCTAACCCATTAAATCTTTTGCATCTGCTCATTGAAAAATCAACAAAAATAGCTTAAGTTTTCCAGAAAAATCAATTCGGTTTTGTTGAGGGAGAACGCGTGCTTACGTTATCAAAAAGTTGATGAAATCTGCAGGGCAGGAAGCAGTGGAGCTGAGTTTACAGAGAATACAAAGGACAAGATCATCAGGCAAGGCATCGAAGAAGTCAGACTCTCCGCGGGATTCAAGCGAACCCTTTAATCTTTTCCGGCAGACCATTTGCTCTCCGGCGAAGTCCATCCTTCTTCTTTTCATCTCTCTCTCATTCATCATATTCACTTTGGGATAACAGTGCCCTCTTCTTGTTCTCATCTCACACACGCTCTCTCTCCCTCTCTTTCTATGTATATATATATGTGGATATTTGCAGGGTTTTTAGGTGTGTGTGATTCTTCTTTTTCTTTGCATCTCCAAATCCAAAGGAAGAAAGAGAAGCGATGCGTTTATATACGAGATAGGGAACGACAGGGCAGAACGTTAGCGTAAGAGGGTTATTTATTGTATTTACCAAAAATGCCCCTGATGAATGATGATTCACTTCTTTCTTTATTTACGGAGGGAACATGGCGTTGACTACATCTCGAATTGACCGCTTTTTCTAAACATGGAAACTGGCGACTGGCGATTATTACCATTCCCGGTGGACGTTATTTTGGGCATAATGTGGACAAATACGTAATGAATGAAACTGGATGCATTATCTTCTCCCATTTGCTTGGGTTTTCATTGACGTATATTTATTTAAATAAGGGTGTGTATGCCTTAGAATTAACGTCTCATTTACAATCCCGAAATCGACTTCACTTGGAGAAGTTTAGTGTCAAAATTTGAACAACTTCAAGTATAACGAGCAATCAAATATGTCTTAGTTACGTGGACTTTCCCTCCATGATTGGGTATTCAAACAGTAAAAACTATTTGTCAGTTCAATTATTTCGTTAGAGACGCAAAATGATTCGGTAATTAACGTCCGATACTTTAAGAAGTTTAGTGGCCTAACTCGACGATTTAAGTGAGCAAGATCATTGTTGGATACAGATTTATGAACAAATGTACTTGTTTAATAAATAATATGATACTGATTTTTGTTAATATAAAATTTCCTCACCATTTAACAAAAATTAAACCATTGATTATTTTTTTCTATTTTGAAAATAAAAGCATACTAACTTGTTGTAGTCCCATTAACATTTAATTAAAATTAATGCTTTTAATATATTTGAGTTTCTTAAGAGTTAGGTATGGCTAACCTATAGTTGTATGACATTAGGAACAAGTTAATTCCAAAATTTCTTATTTGCAAGAAAATCTCATTTATAGCTTGTTTGGAAGGGATTTTTGGGGGAAGAATTGATTTTGAATAGTGATATGATGGGAAATGTGTGGTTGAAAAAGAAGAAAAAATTATTGATGTGATGGGATATATTATTTTATTGAAGAATATGTGGTTGAAAATGACAATTGATTTACTGTAAAATTTTGAGAATTCCTCCCAAACAGGGCTTTAAACTCAACTGAAAAATCATTTTATTTCTAGATTCCACAAGACTAAATCAAGGGTTTGTTCGATATATATTTTTTGAGAATAGATTTTGTGAAAAATGATTTTTCTGAAGATTGCGTAATTAAGGAAAATTTATGGATCCGCTTATAAAATTATCTTATTTGAAGAATGCTTGGTCGAACTTTCTAATCGCATTAAAATTGAAGTAAAAATCCTATTAATTAACTGTTGCATCAAAACGGTAGGCATTGACATTTATTGTTCCAATAATGTGGTCTTATTTTTAGGGTATAATTAGTTAGTATTTTGACGACTCCATCTGACGTTGGCAAATCAAGAAGCAAGCTTATCTCAAAATCGAGAATATGACCAACCAAATCTCAATTTTACTTAAATGGACAATAATAAAATTAAATAAAATCATTCTCTCTCTCTCTCTCTCCACAATTCTATTTATAATAATTTACATTTTGAATGATTGTTCAATTTCAATTCAAACCATTTTACTTACTGTCTTACCCCAAAATCTCACTCACCTTCTCACAACTTCTTTTTCAGTTCTTCAAAATAATACAAATGATGAATTTGGGAATAGAAAGGAAAATTACACACAATGAATGTGTAAGGACCTTTGGCAGTTGATGCCAAGAACAAGAAAATGGAAAGACTCTCTTTCTTGTC